AGCATCATTGAGTTTCTTATTCTGTCAGTAAATTATCCAAATTAAATGTTTTTCATTATTTTAGTCAACCCTAAACAAATTGATTGTACCTTTTAATAATGACCTTACATGGTCGGCAAGTTAAATTAACTTCAGAAAATCAAATCTGTTCTGAGAAAAAACTAATAAATGTTTAAAGATAGGAACTTGCCATCCCACTGAAAAACAGTCCGTAGAGATTTAAAGGCGTAGTTGTAGTTCAGTCCAACGTTTCATTTGGATTTATTTGACAACAGTCAACTATTTTCCTAAACATTTTTTTTTCAAAGTCAACTTTATTGTCAATCTTACTCAGTTTGTGTTTATAGAAAGAGATCAAAAAGACGTTTAAATAAAATTATACAATTTACAGATATGTATACAAATATATATATCCTATATACACCATCATGTATAATGATGGTGTATGATGTAGAAGTTAGTGTGGTAGATAACAAGTAAATATAGAGTTACATACAGATCCATGTTACAGCAAAAGATGGAATAACTAAGAAGCACGCAGTATAATAATAATTACATGCAACAATTAAATAACTGCTCAGCATCTCCACCACAATCCCAATCTGCTGTGTCCTATTTTCCTCTCCTCTGCATAACACCCCATCACACATACCAAACACAACGCAAAGTCCGAGGGTGTTAAGAGTATGTTTATTTAAATGTCCTCCTCTCTACTGGCCAACACAGGGAGCATATGCTGGGTGTAGAATTTTTCCAGGAGGAGGAGATTTCCATGCCATGCAGGGTCTTTGGGGATGGGGATGATGATCGCCTCCTTCGTGGTCCACACAACAAAGTAGCAGAGACTCCGGTCTGTGATGTGCAGCTGCCCTTGGACCTGGAGCCAGTATGGGTGATTCTCCTTGAGAATATATGACCCACCCTCTTCACGAAGACAGAAGGATGGTAACTGGACTGCCTCCGCGATGGTCATGTTCCTCTGGCTGTGTGGACACTTCACCTCCAGCAGGGCAGATGGCTGCACAAGTCCATCGGGTGATGCTCCCAAAACACCCGACTCACTCACAAAGAGACCAGACTCGATTCGAACACTGTCACTTGATAGGCCTCCACAAAAGCCTTCACCCCTTCGGCCTCGTTTACAACCCCCCAGTTGACAGTTGGCGATGTCTCTGGCCAGTGGGTTGTATGTCTCCTCTCGCTGTTGGTAAAGTTGAGACACCGGCTGGACTACTTTTTAAGTGCCAGGCTTCCTCCACTGGCACTCAACATCTGTGGAGCTGATCTGCCACATGGCAAATATTGCCAATGCTGCAGCGTGGCTGCATTTGTACATCCCCTGTGCACAATCACAGACAGCGCTCTGCATCGCGCCATCGTCTCCCATGCAGATCTGTACAAATAAAGTAAGTACCATTTGTTAGCATGCTATAATAGATTGAATGAGCAATAATACAAGGATGGTCCGGATCTGGGGGTGGGAGGGTTTATTTTTCCATAGTTTTGTCCTCTTGTCTGATTGTTGTTATTGTTTGTTTTTTTCTGTATTTTTTGTAATTTGTGCTGTATTGGTTGTGATTGTACATTGTATTTTTCTAAATGTGTATGAATACATTTTTGAAAAACATTTGATCAACAATAAAAAAGGATTTGGTCAGGATCTAGACTCAGTGTGTAGTTTATTAATTAATCAATGCTCTCTACATTAGGAAAACCCATACCAGTGTAGCAGAGGGAGTCACACACAGCTGTGTCTAGATAACCAAAATCCTTGAATCTACACACAGCAAATAAACTCAAATGACACAACGAGAAAAAGGAGATCACACATACAGTATAGTCGATATAAAACTGGCCGCTTCAATCTGAAGAGCAACTAAAACAAAACACGGGAGTGTACCTTGTTCTTGTGAACACTAATGTTATCCACAGCATACACAGAGACCACGCATTTCTTAAGGAGAAAACTAGTTACTAAAACAAAACACGTTAGTGTACCTTGTTAGCTAATGTTAGCTAGCTGACATTAACGTTACACATTGCACTCATATTACTCACCGAAACCTTGTAAAGCCGGTCCCGCTGCTCTTACAGAACCGACTAACTCCCCTTTCGTGTATGTACAGCTCTCAACATGCCCAGACTTGTAGTGATGTTCACCTCGTTTTATACTTTTCCCCTAATTCTGAAAGAAACAGGTGAAATTTGCTAACGTGACGGCCGTCTTTGTGATGGTGACGCGTTTTGTGCGAGACCAGAGACCTGTAGTTCACTGAGCGGTTTCACACACAAAAATGTGTAACTTCACAGTTTTACGACACATTTTTATTTTTTTGACTTGTAAAATGTTCTTTTAAATTGACAAACATCATATGTGTCATTCGTGGCACAATTCAAACAGGATCAAAAGATAACCTTTCTCTCTCCATTGACTTCAATGTATAATTTTCCGCTTCCGGGGTCCCATGGAGGCTCCCGGAAGGGGAGGGACTTCACCTCTCTATACGTCCCGCTGCCTCCTGATGCTGCAGCCATTTCATGAAGTGAAGGAGGTTTTCCTTCTATAAAACAGCTGCGGGCAGCAGATACCGCGAGAGTCCCGGACATGAATTCATAGATCAAGGCAGACTGGTTTACTCTCCTGTTTTGCCAATCCGGTGCTTAAACAAATAGCTACACCTAGTGCTGCGTACCGGTACGCCGAACCGGTACTGGACTTGTAAAAAGTTTCGGTTCAAGTCCGGTTAAAACCGGAACGTCGGGAACCGGTACTTGGACTCGCAAAAAAACTAGCACTTACGTATATTCTGGTGTCTGTGGTTATTTAAACATTCCCTGATAAACGTTATTCAGCGTCAATAAATGAGTGCTAATCCCAGTGTGCTCAGTGTACAACATCACATGTCATTTCACCTTCGATTCACGGTTTGAAAATGTAGCATTTCGCCACATGCTAATGCTAACCGGAAGTGAATAATTTTCAGAATAAAAGTATTAAGTTAATAGTGTGAACTTCCGGTTTTTTCAGAATAAAACTGATTTAAATTAAATAGTGTATTTAATTCAAAATTACGCCATATCAACATTGATTTTAATTTCTAACAGTATGTATGTATATCACTATGTATGTAGTATGTACTGTATAATGTACACATGTAGAGTTGTAGAAAATACATGGTGTACAGACAGTACAATACACTCTGACTGTACAGTCACTACAGTGTAGTGGACTCAGGGACTGTTTGGTTACTTTAGTTTGGTAAATGAAATAAATGTTTGAACTTTGTAGTAGTTCACTGTAGTTGCTGTCATAAGTCATTTGTAGACTAAGTGGCAAAAAGTTTTTTTTTTTACATTTGTACTTTGTAGAGAAATCTAGACACAAGTTGGAAGGGAGCACAACACACCTGACGAGTTTGAATTTGAGTTGATTATGAGTTAATTTTCAATTGATAATTAGCTCACAATAAGTTCACTTTAGTTACTCACACAACTTGACACAAGCCATGGGTTCGTCCGGACCTGAACCTGAACCTCTGGACTTGAGTCCGGACCTGAACCTGAATGTGAGTCCAGGTACGCAGCACTACCCTGGCCGACATGTCCTTAAAATGAAGTCCGAGTTTGAAATATATCTCAAATAATGTATGCACTGCCATTTCCCCACATAAACATAACAGTCTGCAATTAAACAGTCGTCTCCTGTTCGCTCCTCTTCCTACTTGGCGCACCGGTAACTTTCTCGTGCGCACGAGAGGCTGAGACCAGGCTGATCCGCCGAATCCCTCGGAACATCATAAAAGCCATGGCATTTTTAACAGTTTTCTAGTGAAAGTTTAACCAGGCTACTGGATGAAATAATATGACTGGTATAGCTGCAAAAATTAAACACTTTTTGAAAAAAATATGATGAAATATTTTTATATATTTATAATTCTGCAAATATTACGATAAACTCACAGCTATTTCGCGGCCAGGCAGTAACACCTCCGCGGCCCGGGAACCCCTGCTCTATCGCACACATTCCACCAAGAACCAGGACAGTATACAGTCCATGGTCGTTACCAGCCTTTACATTTCCTGTAAAGTTACGTGAATGCATCTCGTGAACATCAGTAATCTACAACTCCTGCACAAGCTTAATTAAAACCCCATATTTAAGAACGATGGACTAAAACGGTTGTACATTTTCTGAATTACGTAATCTATATCATCGTTAAAAACCCTGCTCCTCCACAACGGGTTTGGCATAAACCACCCTACCTTTAATCACGATTTTGCAGCAGTGAAAAACTGACAGTGTTCCACCCATTGTGTTTACATGCCCCACGGTTAGACATCCCACTAATATATTCTAATTTCCTGTGTGGAATAGGATAAGCATCACTATAATGCTCATTACAGACTTTGTGTCAATGATTCCTAATGTAAACCTTATGGTGGAGCAATGTCCCTCTGCTTTTTCAGTGAATGTACTACTTTAAATGTGTTGTTAATAAAGTTGCCTTGCCTTGAATACGATTCATGCAACATTCAATATTATAATTTATTTGTATTGGCACAATAAAAAACAAGCAACCGTTTTAAGTGCAAATCAGATATATCTGAAAAAATATGTAATACTAGAATAATAACGTAAAAAGTTAAACAACTAAACTTCAGAACAATATTTCAATTGTTATAAAAAATTAAGAAAAACTACCTACCAACATGGATACCACTTGTTATTGGTTGCTCCTCACTGTTGATGTTAAGCGGAGTGGATAAAGTGCTAGAAGTACAATTTGGGTATACCAATAGAACAGCTCTGAATATCAAATCCAATGACTTTCCATTACCAATATCTTAAAATTCAAGGACAGAACACGGTATAGTTTGAGACAAGGGTCAAGGTTAATTAACTGCTAGAATGAGAAGTAGCAGGCTCACGGACACAATTAAAAAGAGGTTTGACACCGCACAGTAATATGTGTAAGTATAGCGACAAAGACAGAGACATATTTACAGAGTTGATAAAAGTCTTTATTTTGCACATATATCAATTCAAGCATTTTTAATAACCAATGTCTATTTACTAAAACGTTCCAAGTCTTACCTCACAAATGTAAAGACTTCCAAGGATCCGTGAGATCTATGACATTACTCAAGACTGCTGTACTACATACATATATATGTACTATATACATATATATATAAATAGGTTTATATGCACTAGTCTTTGATCCAATAAAGACTTGTCATTAACCTGAGGACACCAAGAAGTTGATTTGAGCAATATAAAGACTCCAAGCCAAAACTTAATCCAATACAAGAGTTGACCCATTAATCCACAATTATTTCTCACCTGTGTCGGCAGCTGACCTGGAAAAAGGGCATTCAGCTCATGTTCCAACGAGTTCTGGCCCCGGTCCAGCCTGCAGTTCATCCTGAGCGCTGTGAAACCATCTGGCTCACAGCGAGCAGTCTCCTGACTCGGAGCTAGAAAAGGACCACACAGAAAAGGACATGTTAACCAACCATGGTTAATCCATTCCTAAGCATCAACATGACCATCACCACCATCAAAACACAGGAGACATACTCCATTATCTTCAAAATGATGCAATAATAGCTAAAACATCTGAAAAAAAGTATATGCCAGATATGTAACATGAAGTATCTTTAAAAAAAAAGTTACAGAATATATTTGCTCTGGGAAGTAAGATCATAAAAAGGTGAACAATTGTTCCTTTTGCAGCCTTGAACAGTTTGCAAGGATAATTCATTGAATGCATACATTACTTTCTTGTGTACTGTCAATATTTGTATGTTGTTAGGTGCTGCCATGTGTGGCTGTGTATATCTGTTTCTGTGTGTTTGGAGGTAAAAATACAAATAACTTTGCAATAATACATTTCAACTTAATAGACAACGAAATCAAACATTATGCTCCAAAATACTAGTCATTTCAAAGAGGCAGAAATATAGTGCAACTTTCTGAGCATTAGTACAGATAATGAACAATCTTACCAATCCATCCCTTCCATTTGTGTGAACCCATTCAGGATGGGGCAGCTCCTTTACTGCCTGGTGACAAGAGGCAACATATAGAGACACAGTTCTGATGTGAGAAACTGTAAAGGAAACTCCAGCATTTGATGGCACTTTAATGCAAAACAAAACGTGTGAAACAATGAGCTTCCTGATGTTACCATGTGCTCCCTTTTTCATCCTTACCTGTGCAATATAAATACTGTGGCCTATCTACTGCCATCTTGTGGAGTTATGATGTACAGACATCTGTTTAGAGGCACGGCCATTGTTCCAACATCAGCCAATTTAATCAGTATTTCATTCGGATCGCCCCTGCTAGTTAAATACATTTAAACAACAGCTTCTAAAGTGTTATCTACATTTTACTCAAAGCATTTCCAGCTCAGGAAATGCCCAACAAATGCAGCGTCGGATAAAAGGAACAATGGATCATTATTCGTGCTGGTGTTAAACTGCTGCCTCTAGCGGTGTGGGAAGGGAAACGTTCACCACCACCCTCCCTTTCAGAGTGTGTGTGTGTGTGTGTGTGTGTGTGTGTGTGTGTAGACAGCTGAGAAGATTTTGGTGCAGGGAGCCAAGACAAGCAACAGGTGTTTGCAGGGTTTAAGGGTTCACAGCACTTTCCAGATCTTCCGGCTTGTGCAGGACTTTTCATTTTGCCTAAGGGGGATAATATTCACTATGTCTGAAGGAAATACATATTCCTCATGGGTTTAAGCCCCAGAAACATACTGATAAAATTTAATTGTAATATTCCCAATGATTCTTCAGTCAACTTTTATGACTTAGGTTCGTCATAGCCTGGAAAATAACAATTGACTCTCCTACTGAATTAACAGAAGCTTGATTCATAGTGCAGTATATTAGTAAGAAAACAATTAAAAGAATAAAGCATAATTACGGCTAGTGTTTCTCCAGTGATTACATTAGCTAGGAGAGGAGACAGTACTCTGTGCAAGGCTAGCTCACCCTCGAGTACCGTTCAGGGGAGTTCCTCATTCTAGCGCTGCGGCTCTCAATGCTTCACCACCTAGGCAGGTTGGAATAAGAGGACAGACACATGAAACAAAATACAATGATACCATGGAACCACAAGGCAGATGCTAAAAACACTTTCTATGGTAAACAAATTAGGTGGTCACTTGTTATGGCAGAAGGCACGTTTTAGAATTGTAAACCTTTGGATGGTCAGATCCTTGGTGTCTTCAAAAAAGGGAGCAGAGATGGTTCAGATGATTAAAAACGAAATCGAGAAAACTCAGCATACACGTACAAATCCATTCAGAGTTAAATATGACGTTCCAGCTGTTGTAAAAGGTGTCAGTATCAGGATCATACCAGAGCAAGTGACATTCCACCATTATTCAAGATTGCCCGTCAGTAAAGTTTGTTTGCACAGGTATACAAGGTATACGCTTCAATAAATGTTCACCTGCCAAGACAAAAAAAAAATTGGAGCGCGACTAAACTTCATCCCATAATAACATGCACAACATTGTTAAATCTCTGCTAATGTTCTGCACATGAAATTGGTTCCTTAGCCGTATCCCAAAAATATGTATTTGGATGGCGCCGAAGAGGTCGAATGGAAAGAAAAAGGACAGTTCTAATTTAACGATTGTTAAGCTCATTTGGCACCCACCATTTTCACAAAGATAAATGTACCTATATGAAGCACTCAGTGTTTTCCTGTTCTTCATGAATGGCAGATAAGTGGATTTAGTGAGGCATACACTGTTTACCTGTGCAAACAAACTGTGACAGGTACAATCTTGAGTAAAAGCAATAAGTCACATTTGCAGTTGTTGGTATTTCTGTGATATTCTGTAAATAAAATTGAGTGCAGGAAATGACTGTAGTCCGACGTAACATGCACTGAAAATTAAAAAGGGTTAAAATCCTGTTATCATCCTCTTTTCAGTATTTGTATTATTCCTTTGAGGCAAGAAATTTGACTTGGAAAGAAGATCTTCATCCAAATGAGAGAATTGAGGTAAAATCAAATCAAATACTGACAACACTGAATTTGAGTATCTGACAATTGACTGATGCTCAGCTGAGTTTTATTGAAACGGAACAAACGTAAAAGTTATAAATACAAAGAACATCAGAACAAACTGCTATGGCTCTTAAGGTAAGCCAAACCAAATTCTATTGGGCAAGTTCAAAGAAAACATAGGAAGTTATGGTATCAGTTTAAAAAAAAAAACACAATTTGTCTACCGCTAGAAATGCTAGGCATACACTTTGAACATTACAAAACTTTGATTTCTTCCTTCCTGTGGATTCTTTTCTCCACCATTGCAAAAAATGAAGTATGAAGCTCTAACCATATGCATTTATTTACAAGCAAGTCCCTAAGCAACTATGAGAAACCACAAATAAAGGGAGTACAAGGGGGGAAGGGGCATGGACAAAAACTTCCTACAAGGCAATATCATTATTTAATGTCCTCTCAGACTTTTGGGAATCAATGTCCACTTTGTAAATGTTCATTGTTGGCTTTAAATTAATCAGGAACAAAATGTAACAATAAAAGTGTTTCGTGTATTTTTAAAAATGTCCCAATGTAAGAGTAAGAAATGATTCACCACAACGGTTACGTTCACTTCTTCAGCCAAAAGGCTTTCCAGCCAATCACTTCGAGCCAATTCTGGGGTCTGTCCATTTTTTTCTGACATATGTACAGATTTTTTTTTTTCATGAGGGGTGAAGAATAAAAAGTCAATCAAAAAATTGTGGCCAATCTCCTGTAATTTTTTTTCCTTTTTATTGTTGTTTTTCTCTTTTTTTGTTGTCACTTTGCCAAATACCTTTGGGTGCATCTACTTCCACTGCTGCCCATAAGAATCCTGTGAAAACTCCATGGTGTCATTACTGTAACCATAGTTACCGGAATAGTCGGCCCCCTGCTGCAGGGGCTGCTGGGCGATGGGCTGGGACCCCCAGTTCTGCTGGTTGTTGGTCTGGCGGCGCTTGGAGTCAGGCTGGTTGAACACATCCGCCTTCCTCTTCCCGCCGACGTTCCCCCCGCGGTTTCCTCTGGCCCCGCGTGGCCCGCGGCCTCTCTGCGGCTGGAAAGGGGCTCCCCGCCCCCCGCGGCCACCCCTAGGACCACCGAGGGGGGGTCCCCTTTGGGCGTAGCCCCCACGGCCTCGCGCCGGGGGTGCCCCACGAGCTCTAGGTGGAGGAGGCCCCCCCCTGCTAGGACGAGTACCACGGCCCCTCATGCTGTAGACATCTTCATAGCCGTAGTAAGGGTCTTCATAGCCACCACGGTAGTCATGATAGTCGTAGCCATAGTAGTCATCATAGTAGTCGTCATACCCATAGTAATCAGGGGGATAGGAATAGCCCCCCCGGCCACCGCGACCCCTGCCTCGGCCTGGTGGCGGCATGCGTGGAGGGGGGTAGTAGTAATAGTCATCATACCTGCAGAGGGGAGGACAAGTTAATTTAATGATTCCTTATGAGATAATACACTTATGCCTAAAGCATTTTAAACTGTAAATTAGCCAAGCAGCTAACAAAGTTAAGCAGCTAAACTTAACTTTGTTCATATCTCTTTTACTCTTACTTAGTTTAAGTCACTCTCCGACAGAACAGAGCATCGCAGTTTGGCTTTTAGTTTTTTTCGAATTTTGCTGAAACACAGCAGCTAATATTGCTAGAAAGAACAACAAGTCGGCGTACTGCCAAGTGTTTGAATTATGTCTCTGCTCAATACAGAGTGTGTTTGCAAAGCCCAACCCTCTGGGAAAAACAGAGTTCAGCGAAGAGAGAGAAACTACCTCAACAATAAAATGTGTATTAACTCACATACTGAGCTTTCAGGGAAAACACTGGAGTCCCATATGTCTCTGTTACTCACCCAGAAATCCTAGTGGTCTGGCGAGCTGCTTGTCGCTCTTTCCTCTTTTTATCTGGCGGCTTTGCCAGGACGATCTCAATTTCCTCTCCTCCTAGCTCCTTCCCGTTCATCTCATCCATTGCCTAACCAAACAAAACGATAAATTACTGTAACATACATGGCGATAATCAGACATGCAACACAACTTGAATGAAAAACACACCTTTACAGCAGCATCCCTCTCCTCAAAATGGACAAAAGCATAATCTTTCAATTTCTTCACTCGCTCCAGCTTTCCAAACTGAGAGAAGGTCTTTTCAAGAAGCTCTTCAGTCACTGATGTGGCCAGCTTTCTTACAAAGAGCACCTTGACCTATGAAATCAAAAACAAAGAGACAGTTTGTTGCCCTGTAGAAAATGCATGTTTGTGTTTTAAAGAGAAAATATATGGAACCAACCTTGGCCATGACCTCGGCGTCTGGCTCAGCAACAGGGTCGGCCCACTCCACAGTGACCGGGTTCCCCCACACCTTCACTTTGCCGCTCATCAGGCGGCGGCGAGCCTGCGCTGCAGACTTGTGATCTTCGTACTCCAGGAAACAGAAGCCGCGGTTCTTCTTCTTGTCATCTGGCTGGTGGTACAATATGACCTCTTGGAGACCCTCTGTGAGATAGACAATAACATCTCTAACTTCCAAAACAGTTGTCCTGTCTATAATCCTAAATTAATTTATTTTAAAAGAAGTTACTGACAAAAATCTCCCTCCTTGCTTTGGGACTGACCTGTAACTTTGCCAAAGTCTTCCAATATACTTTCCCTTGTCTTGTTCTTTGGAATTGATCCGACAAACAGGCGATTGTTTGCAACAGATATACAGACTCCCAAGTACTTGCCAGGGCGGATTTCATGGTTATCACACTGAAAATGAAATCATGTGAAACTCATTATAAATGAACACCAACTTTAAGAATTAGGCCATTTTAAGCTTGTATCCTTTTAAATAATACTCCATATATCAAATACGACTATTTCAAACTGTCTCCAGCATTCCTTTAAAACTAACTCAGTTGTTATATAATTTGATGCATTTCTTCAAAAGGCTATACCATGCTACTTACAAGCTTTACAGCCTTTTGTGCATCATCCTTATTGCAGTACGTGATGAAGGCGTAACCCCTGTTCTGACCAGAGAGAGGGTCCATCATTAGCCTAAGGTCCCAGATGGAACCGGCCGACTCAAAGAGAGGCACCAGCTCATCTTCATACAAATCCCTTGGGATTTTCCCAACAAACACCTGAAAAATAAAGGAGAAACAGGTGGACAAGTGTTAGGATTTGTTCATAAATACATATCATGTTTTGCAGAATTATAAATGGTGTAACAAGTATCATGTAATGGTGCTGTAACACAGATCTAATACAGTTTCCCCCATAAATATGAGACATTGAATAATGAGAGGCTGCTTTATAGACGTCTCTAATCTACCTCTGTTCCAATCCCTGGTTGTATTCCTTTGAACACATCCTCAGGTGGGGGACCTCCGTACTTTCTCTGCCCTGTGGTGACATCCAGGGTGTATCCCGTCCGCTCTAACAGAGTCTGAAAAACAACAACAAACAACAACATTAATTGAGCAGCATGACTGTGCAGGAATGTTTGAATGACATTCATTCTAATCCATTTATGCAACAAAGCTCTGCTTCAGTAGTTTGTTTACCTTGATTTTCGCCTCATCTGGGCCCTTTGTGGATTCCTGTACTTTACTTCCTTGTTTTTCTCTCTGTCTGTAAGTCTTCATGACTCCACAAAGGAAAGCACTTTTATTCTATATAACAAAAAGAAAAAAAGTTATTATTTTGTCTACAATAACATGAAACTCCTCACCAAGACAGAAAGGCAGTAATCCATTCAAGTATTTACCTGTACGTGGGACAGGTCGCTCTCTTTGAACTGCTGCAGCACAGTCAGTGCCCCCTCCTCATTGAACTCACGCAGGGCATCAATGGCCCTTTCATCGAGGTCAACATACGCGACCAAGCCTACATTTAAAAAGCATGTTCAGTTAGTACAAGCTACAGTAGATATCTGCTATACTCCAGCCCAGCTTCTTAATATGACATGTCAAAGTTCTTAGAGACAAAAAACTCTCATCCACCTGTCAGGAAAATGTTATCCAAACTTTCAGCAACTTTCTGGGGCAGCCCAGCATCAATGAGCGTCTGGTAGTTATCTGTGTGTGTTGTTGTCACATCCATGGGCTCTTCTTCCTCCTTAACCAGGGCAGAGCTACCGTTTACCTCAGCGGCAGCCATTGTCCTGTAGACGGATAAGATAACCCTTTATTAGTCTCACAGTTGAGACATTTCATAAATAAGAAACTGTTATTAAGCAACTTGTTTTCAAACGGATAGATGTTGTGATCTGACTTTTAACCATAAACGTTACTTTATTGATGAAATACAAGCAATTTCTAAAAACCGTAAAATCAGCAAACTATGAATTACATGCATTATAAACACTGTTAGACAAATGAAATACATGTGAAAAGGAGAAGATATTGCACGGTAACATAACATGGTTACTTAGGAAGACACCGTCCCGCCCCCTTCACATGCAGCCTGCTAGCTACAGAGGTTGACACATTTTATTTTCATATTTACATGCAGTCATACACTGGGCGAACGCTATATATTTACGGTCACATAAAATGGGCAGTTTTCAGAGCATAATATATGTTAAATTATAATCTTGAGCCAACAGTGCTAATGTTTAGCGGGCTAGCTAACGAGTTTATGTGAAGGCCTCGGCGTGCAGAAAGACAGTTTTCAGACACATGCTTTGTACAAGGTGCCAACACATAGTTAGCATAACTCACCAGTCTGATTCAGGACGCTAACAATGGCGTGTGTTAAAATGCGGAACGATTAACTTGTCGCACGTAAAAAAATGACAATTATGAAGAATACGTTTGAGTCCAACCCACGAGACAAATTTCCAGACAGCTACGGTCTCGTCGTCGGCTCGCCCGAACAACGCCACCGCTCAGCAACGCTCGCGAGATTTGGTGGGGAAACGCGCAGTGGGGCAGGTGTTCGTTTTGACTACTTTACATGGCGATTTGCAGCATAGTCCCTTCTTATTATACATGCATGCATAGTCCTCGCCAACTGTAATGTCACAGATGTATTATATCCGTTAGTATCATTCCTGTATCTTGTGAAAAGTATGAAATAATACTTGACACAAATTAGGGAAGAAGATTTAATTCCACACACAAAATTAGAGGATAGTTACATCCAATTGAAGTAGCAAAGATATTCAGCACGTAATCGGGCAACAAGAGGACTTAAAAACAAGTGCTTCATCATCAACTACCAAACCACAGAGGATGAACTTTGACTGACACAACTTCAGCCCAATGATATTCTTCATCTGTTTTGTGCAGACCTAAAACAGGTTCAACCTTATTTTCGAATAAACACAGTTGACCCAAAGCATACAAACAGCTGACATTTTGGAAATAAACAAAGGACATACAAAAAGCCACACACATTTGCAAAAGCTTTAATGAAATACAAAAATTAAGTGCTTTATTGGTATTAATTAAGGCAGTTCAAAGTGGACCTGCCTTGGCCAGCAGCAAACCAATCAATAGAAGATATTGATTGACTTTGGAATCAGATGATGATAACTGGCTTTAGTCGTCATGGTTCAGCTTTCTAATTTTGCCCTTGTGGCGGTCAATCTCCCTTTGTAGGCGCTCAATCTCCGTTTTGTGGTGCTCAATCTCCTCTGAATGATGCTTCCTCAGTGCCTCCATCTGCGCCTTCTCCTTTTGCCTGCAGGTTAGAAGTGGCTGGGTTAAAATCATGTGTGAAACCATGGCCACAGGCATGAGCATATTACAATGTGATAACAAATATACCGGCGTCTTTCTCACCTGAAGTAATGCTCCTCTTGTGCTTGTCTCTTTCCAAATGCACCCCCTGCCTCCCTCACAGAGCCTCCTCCACCTCCACCTTTGCCCGCTCCCTTGCCCAACTCTCCAAGCTGGTGGTCAACAGAATTGTATTTGTTAGATATCAAAAATACACATTTAAAGGATCCTCTTGTTTGTAAATCAAATGAGGTTGCTTAAAATATTTGAATAACTTATATCTAACAAATAACTCAATTAAGGTCTTCCTCCTATTGCTCATTGTGTGAACTGAACTACAATACAATCAATGTCTTTATCTGTAAGGGAAAGATAATAGCCATAAATCAAGAACAACACAATGATTGATAAAACATATTACATAACCCTTTAACAATCTCAGCAAAGGCACAGGCAGTTCATTCTTTTTTTGCAAGACATGGCAACGCATATTTAATGTATGTTTCTATACTCTTACCGCGAAAGGTGACACACCTGTAACTCCTTGCTCCTTAACCTACTTGCTGTCTATGCAGACGTGTGTATTTTTGGAAAAACCTAAATGTATGCTATGACTGTGTCAAAAGTACTAAGATTATTTACTCACTGGCAATATCATAATGAAAAACACAAGTGTTAAGTAGCATCTAATTAAATAGTAACATTAATTTAGTAAAATGTTCTTCCTTAGATTCAAGCCCTGCCAGTTAAACAGGATTTATATATTTCAGAGTTCAAGATTAGCAACATTAAATTGTAGCCATAAGCAACATGCTGCAGTCTTGACTTGAGTCTTGACGACCCGCACAATATAGTTGATCCCTAAATATAACTAAGCAAGTAGCTAGCCTTGCTAACTTAGTCCGAAAACAACTACTCCTGCTGATATGAGCAAGCTAATGCTAACAGAAAGTCAACATCTGTCACCAGTCCACCGCAGTGTGACAGTACCTGATCAGATGCCATTCGTATCTGAGAGGCGACGCACCTCCGGAGGTCTGCTCTGAGGAGAAATCGTGCCATTTTTTTATATGTAAAACTGCAACAGGGCAGATAAAGAAAACGCGGACAGTTGAAGGTAGTAAACGCCTCATAAGGGAGCACCTCTGATACATGTTTGCTTTCTTGCTGCCACCAGGCGGCGAGGGGTAAGAATGCAGAAGGTATGTACAGTGGGCCAGGACCTTTAAATATACAGATGGCCAGGACTAAACTATGCAAGCAGCTCGTATATTTTCTTCGCTTACATAAATGCAGAGGTGGAACAAGTAGGCCTACTCAGATATTGTACTTGAGTAAAAGTAGAAGTACAAAAGTACGACGGAGTATTAGGGCCACACTTATAAGAAAAAAACAGAGAGATTTCGAGAATAAAGTCGTAATAATACGAGAATAAAGTCATAGTTACGAGAATAAAGTCGTAATATTACGAGAATAAAGTCATAGTTACGAGAATAATGTCGTAATATTACGAGAATAAAGTAATCGTTACGAGAATAAAGTAATAATTACGAGATTAAAGTCGTAGTTTCATTTGTGACTTGAGAAGCGGACTTGAAGGAGATTGTCTCCTTTCTGCAGGAGGAAATGGCTGGTTCTGGCCGACTACATTACATTACATTGCATTTAGCTGACGCTTTTATCCAAAGCGACTTACAATAAGTGCATTCGACCAACAAGATACAAACTTGAAGAAAACAGAATCATATTATCAGGTTTCATAGAGCTAAAACATTTCAAGTGCTACTCAACTGCTTTAGATAAGCCAGTCCTTTATTAGTATAAGTGCTTTGTTAGCAATTATTTGTTAGTAATTCTATCGCTCGAAGTGCAGTCGAAAGAGATGAGTTTTCAGTCTGCGCCGGAAGATGTGTACGCTTTCTGCTGTCCTGATTTCGATTCTTTCACACACACATACGGGTATTGGGCCGAGGGCGACACCGTACTTCCGGTATCCGCCGTTTTACGCGAGGTGCAAGCAGGCCAAGGGTTTAGCCGTACACCGTCTAGGTGTTGCTAAGCTTCCTGTACTGAATATCATAGTCTATTGCCTTAATCAATATCTAGTCAACTCTAAAATACCACATATATGCAATGGCATGATAATATTATTGTGACAAGTTCACCTGGTGTTTCCAGAAATTAGACGTCGATGCAGCCAAAATCGACGCAGTCTGTAAGGGCAATCCGACAACCCACACAGCTCTAGTTTACGCTGGTAACGACCTAGAGCACATCCCTCAAGTCCAGTGATGTAATCCGAAGACATGCAGCGATTTCTTCGGTCGTTAATTCAGAAAAAAAAACTAGTGCGCTCTGCCTTGCTACGTTAGCTAGCTGTTTATATTTGCACTTCCAGGATATTTGCACCTCCATGAAAATGGCGTATTTATATATATATATATGGCGCGTGTTGCATTGTGGGTAGCTCGTGACGTCACTGTGTGTGAAAGAATGGGGAGCTCATTCCGATTCCACTACAAGGCTATCGTTCGACTCCTTCTGGATCCAAAGCCTTGATTACAAGTCTCATCGTTTCTTGTGAAACAACAAATCCCCTTTGAACAGCTCGTAGATGTAACCAACGATAGCCTTGTAGTCGGCCAGAACCAGCCATTTTCTCCGGCAGAAAGGAGACAATCTCCTCCAAGTCCGTTTGGTTCTTTCTTCGAAATAATAGACATAGTATCTTGCACAACCTTTTAAAAGTTCTAATACTTATGATAATCTGATGCTGATGTGCCAAAAGATTAAAGGTGGGGTAGGTAAGTTTGAGAAACCGGCTCGAGATACACTTTTTGTTATATTCCATGGAATGCTCTTAACATCCCGATATCAATGAATATATAAATATTGTCCTTTGACAAAAAATTCATAAAAAAATGTCATCTGTGGAAGCCGTAATACTGTAAAAAGCACGACCAATCCGTTTAGCCGGCCCGGCTAAATGGAAAGGGGATTTGCCGCCCTGTCTGTCACGGCCCGTCTGTGACGGCCCGTCCACACAGCGGCGTGCGTTGAAGCTTCCAACGCTTCTGCCAATTCAGTTTGAATGGGGTGACGTCACTTTTAGCCGAACTGCATTTTGGGAAGCGACGCGGAGCGTTGCTGGCGTTGCTCGCTTCAAAAGTTGAGCAATGTTCAACTTTTGACGCCTCGGCAGAAGCGTCAGCAAATCGAATCATATGCCAGTACAAGCTCTAGCCAATCAAACCGCTGCTTGTGTGTCAGGGGCGGGAGATTCATGTGATTGGTTGTTGGTCGAGTGCAGGGCTGGACTGGCCATCTGGCATACCGGGCATTTTCCCGGTGGGCCGACGTGCCTTTTGGGCCGACACGTCATTTTTTTTTTTTCTGAAGTCCCGGCCCATAAGACGGGTAGATTGGCCCTCTGTTTAAATGTTTTTAATAATTGACACTGGGCCGGCCCAATCAAATCTTTAATCACCTCCCCCTTTGGCCGCTCGGTGTGCATCATTAAATCACGCCCCCAGGAGGTGAGCCGGCCGTTGAAGCCAAACTGCCTTTTTTTTCGAGAAAAAAAAAAGTTCGAGTTAGAAATGGCGAAGGCGAAGGCCAAGCGAAAAGGGGGAGCAGAAAAATTGCGGGCAAGAAAAAAGCAGGCCCTTCGTGCTGATGCTGCCGCTTGTGTCAAAATAACCGACATGTTTAGTACAGGTGCAGGTCCATCTTCTTCTAACCCGTGGCCGATATTGGTGGTGAGGAAGATGAGGGAAAGAGATCAGCGCGAGTGGGGAGAGCGAGGAGAACTCGCGGTAAGCAGAAGCTAAGAAAATTAGGAAAAGATTATTATTAAGGTTATGATACTCTGTAGTTCTGGAACCCATTAATATCCCTTTGATGAAGCACTAATAAGACAAATATTATAAGAGAAACATTCGTTAGCCTACAAGCTAGTAAGCTGTCTTTTTTAGGTTTTCCCTGGCAAGTTAAAATATAGCTTAATGGGACTCTGATACGTTGTCTCATTGAAAGTTAACCAACATTCATGAACAATTACTCTCAGCTGGCAGCTTGTTTTGTTTAGTTTATTTACTTATTTGGTTATAAGGGCAACAGTGGTCTTTTGGGACCTGAAAAATGTTTGTATAGTCAGCTTTTTGTGGTAGTTTTGATTGACAATATATAGAATGAATAATATATATAAAAAAAAAAAAAATTGAGGCACACATGTAGTTTTGACCATTAACTGTGTGGTATTGTTATGTCAATGCCTATTTGTATGGACCTCTATCAGGGAATCCATTCATTCTGTATCATTGTGTTGAGCCAGGTAGAATCCCCAGAGGAGGAGAGTGTCAGCGAGAGTGAGGAGAGCAAAGAGCAGGAGGACATAGATTACTTTGCCCGCCCCGAGCCATCTATGTTACAGATGTTTTTAGAACAGCACCCACAACAACATACCAGAAATCCAGTTGTGCAGAAGGTATTCACCTGTAAAGATGGCACCAGCAGAAAGTGGCTTACATATTGCAAGGGACGTCATATGTTGTTTTGTTTTGTATGTCTGGCATTTGGGAAGAGGACTGACACTGGCACATTTATAACTGGAATGTCAGATTGGAGGCACGCACACCAGTGTACAGAGGAGCACGAAAAGAGCATTACACATTCAACCTGTGCTGAAGCTTTTTTCTTACGGTGCTCTAAAGCAGACATTGAAAGCATGTTTGCTGGCAGTCAGATGTCTGCTCATAGGGAACAAGTCTGAAAGAGACGTCAGGTTTTGGAGCGTGTGGTGGATGTGGTGAAAGTGCAGGCAGGTGGAGAATGAGGGAGCATATATGCTAGCTGACAACACCGTGGACCACGGTAACTTTTTGGAGCTCATCCTTTTATTAGGAAAGTATGATGTCTGCTTAAAAGAGCATCTGGATGATTGCGTAGAGAAGAGCAAGAAATTGCACCAATCCAGTGGAACAAAAGGTAGAGGGTCTCTCATCACCCTACTCTCCAAAACTACTGTTAACTCCATAATAGAAACTGTTGGTAGTCTAATCAAAGAAAGTATCTCCAGTGATGTCCAGAAGGCCGGAATGTTTTCTGTTCAGCTGGACACAACACAAGACATAACTTCTCAGGATCAGTGTTCAGTAATCTTAAAATATGTCAATGAGACTGTGCAAGAGAGGCTTGTGGCTTTAGTGAAGTGCCATGCATCCACCGGACAATACTTTGTGAACTTGCTCTCAGAGGTCTTAGAGCATCTGAAACTGGACAAGGGCACGTGTATAGGTAATGCAACAGATGGAGCATCCAATATGCAAGGCCGGTACAAAGGATTTTCTGCACTGATGACCCTCATGTCCATGTGTGGTGCTATGCTCATGTTCTTAATCTTGTCCTGGCTGAAACTACCCAAACTGTCATCGAATGTGGAACACTTTTCAACCTAATCAATGACATAGCAGTGTTTATCAGGGAGTCATATCAGAGGGTCAATCTGTGGGAGAAACAAGCCCAAGAAAAGATGCCGTCGACTCATCCTGTTGATTTGCTGTCCCAGTCCAGCCCTGGTCGAGTGTCAGACACGCCCGCCGGCAAGCGTCAACGCACGCCGCTGTGTGGATGGGCCGTCACAGCCTTCCATCTCGTGCACGCACAAATGTATCTCGTGCCCTCATTGGGCGTGCCGTAATTGGGCGTGCTGTAATTGGGCGTGCATTGCGCGTTCATGTGTGTTGGAGGAGGTGCTCTGTAAGGAAGTCTGAAGGGGCGGATTCTTTTCGGCTGTGTACTTTCACATTTTAGTGCACTCGAGCCGGTTTCTGAAACGTACCTACCCCACCTTTAAGTATTTCGTTATTTGAGAAACCTAAACTAAAGTACTGCTTCACAAGATGCTCCACATTCCTCATTATATTGCAGGACGCTGATGTCTCCTTCTCAAGTCACTTATGAAACTACGACTTTATTCTCGTAACATTACGACTTTATTCTCATAATATTACGACTTTATTCTCGTAACTATGACTTTATTCTCGTATTATTACGACTTTATTCTCGAAATCTCTCTGTTTTTATTTCTACTGTAAGTGTGGCCCTATAGGCTACTCCGTCGTACAAAAGTGTTGGA